TTGTTCAGTGACGCTGAAAACTCATCAAACTTCTTCTCCATCATAGCAGATATTTTCTCACTGACAGTCTGGGATATGTCCATCGCAAGAGTATCAGGCTCGACAGCGTGGGTCTTATCAGGCGAGTCATTGCTAGCTAGCAAGGTTCCCTTGTTAGCTTGCACATTCTTGTTTTGGTCCTTGGGAGGCTTCCCTCCGGATTTGGCGGCTTTACTCATCATAACTTCGTTCTTGATATTGTTAGATAAACTTCAGTATGGTTGTAACTCGGAAAAAAAATGTGTTAAACAAGTAATGTAGCTCAGTAGTGGCGGAGCTCAGCAGCGGTCGACTGCTCAGGGTGACAGCATCACGTGATCCCCCAAGCTACATTTATTAATAGCAGAAGGTGGGTGGGGACGGACGGCGGATGCACAGACCAGGTTCACATCCTGTCTGTGGTTTAGGCTGCAGCAGCTCTGTGTTTGAGCTTTGTTAAATGTAAATAAACTGAAAGTGAACTTTTTCTGGATTAAACTGACCAGGATCTTTTGCCTCTTGACAAATATACAACTTCCTCATTATGTTTCCCTCAAAACCGAGCTGCTGTTGCAGATTAGTTGTATAGCAACTTAGACTCTAGCAGACGGGTTGGTCTGGGCGTGTTTTGTTTTGTTGTGTCTTATCTCAGTTCATATTTTTCTGAATTCTGATTAAATGAAGTGTATAATAATGACATGGAAGACATAGACATACAGTACATTGACAAGACATAAATTGAGATGCACAGATATTAATTTGTCTTAAATATAAACCCCTGGTATATTAGCTTCAGATCATCAGAGCACAGCTAATGAAGGTATCAGGTATATTTAATGTTCATGTTCCTCTGAGCTATGTTTCCTCAGGATACTTTTCTCAACACAGACTGCAGATATTCATCTTCATCAATTTATAAATAACAAACTTTCTATGTTTCAAGGTCACAAATATTCTCATTTTAACTTTTCTGTTTAAATATTCTCTGGGTGAGAGCTGCTCGAGCTCAGAAGGTCTTCATTGTTCATCTGGTGATGAAGCAGGTTTGGTAACAGAGAGGTTGTGGGTTCAAATCCTGACTACAGTTTTAAATATACATTCAAACCAAGAGACAATAAACATATTTATACAACTCTGGAAGCAGCATCTTAACTGCTGGACTATTAATCAGTGTCTAAGTTTGTTAAAGGATAAAAGACGAAGGAAGAATCTTTTTCCCAGAAAGGTTTAGTGACTTCATCTGCAGCCTGGATGTGTTTGGCAGCGTGCATGGAGGTGTGTGCCCACAGTGACCAAAGGGTGAGAGGAAAGATGAAGATGGTAGAGAAAAGCTAAGGAATAAAAGCTGAACTGAACAGAGGCTGAGAGCTGCCAGACCCTCGCTGTGCCCCGAGTCCTCACAGGCACACAGCCAGCGTCCAACATGGGGGGTCTTAGTGTCCGAATCTATGGAGCATCTGACCCATGCTGCTCCCTGCTGAGCGTGTGTGTGTGTGTGTGTGTGTGTGTGTGTGTGTGTGTGTGTGTGTGTGTGTGTGTGTGTGTGTGTGTGTGTGTGTGTGTGTGTGTGTGTGTGTGGACAACCAGGCCACCGTGGAGATGTGAAGTGGGAGAGGAGTTCTGGAGTCGAAGCTTGTCGTAATGAGCAACAACTAGTGCTGACAGATTAATCGTGTTTTCATCATCACTGAGATTTGAACACGTGTAATAAACACATCGCAAAAGACTGACTGAAAAAATTATTTTATTCACACACGCAGGGTTTTCAAGGCGCAGCGTCGGAGCCAGATGAACCGGAAAACTACGGTGTGTTGGTGTCGGGCTGCAGCCGCTCAGACAGCGCAGCCAGTGTTGTGTATGAACGTGTTTAATGAGAGCCGTTCATTGAACATGTTCATATATTTTTTTTTAACGCCGAACTGAACGAATGAGTTTACAAAAGGCTCACGTTTTACGACAGATTCACGGCACGCTGCATGACGTCTCCACAGCTTGGCTGGTGCCAGCGGGACAGGCGGTACAGGCGGTACAGGCGGTACAGGCGGTACAGACGGTACAGACGGTACGGACGGTACAGACGGTACAGGCGGTACAGACGGTACAGGCGGTACGGACGGTACAGGCGGTACAGACGGTACAGACGCATCTACCGCTGCTGAAGCCAGTTTGTTTGAGCATATGAAGCAGTTTTATGAACAAACAAGTGAAGACTCAGACGGATTCATTTTATATACAGATTTTAAATGTAACTCATGTCTGTGATTCTTCAGTGGTACAATAATCCAGTTAGTTTGGGAGTGGCAATGATTTAGGGCTGGTGATGGAGGTTCTATTGAAAAGTGATGGAGGTTCTATTGAAAAAGAGTAGTGAACAACAATAAACATGAACTAGTTCATTTTCATCTGTATGAACTGAACTTTGAACTCGTGTGAACTGGCACAACACTGAGCACAGCAGACAGCAGAGAGGCGGCGGTGGAGACCAGTGACCAGTGAACTTTTTATTTACTGGAGCTGACAACAACTACAGTCGTAGCTCTGTGAACGCATCACAACCTTTACGAGTAAAAAAGCAATTAGCGTCCCTCATCACTCCTCCTGTTCAACAAGATTTAAACATGTAGAAAAGCTGCATTTCCAACTTCTCCATCCACTGCGGTTTGTTTTACACGAGTGTAGCGCACTAGCGATAAGCTAATAATAACACGGTTATGAACAAGCTAACAGGAAAACTTTCTGTGTGTCGACTGCAGCTTCGTTTGCCACAAACCTTTGTGAGATTATAACTACAGTCTGAGACGGGAGGAGGATGGAGGCGATGACCAATAGTGACCTTTGGTTTGTGCTGTATGAAACCATGGCTCTCTAAACACTAGATTTTCATCAGAGGGGTCTTTAAAAAATGTCTTTGCAAATTTATGAAATCTTAATTTAGCACATTTTTGAGGAGTGAAGGATGAATGTAATTCATGAAGTAATTTAAAGGATAATGATTGTAGTACAGATGTTTTATTTAAATACCAATGATGGTCGTGGATGTAATTTAAAATAAGCAGAGCTGTGGACTTGACGCTTAAACTTAAATCAGGACGTACTAACAGTTTTGACTCAGTAAAAACAATTTCTCCAAAAGAAGCAACTAAACAGTTTAATTCAGCTCTGGCTCTTTGACCTCTAACGACCTTTAAACAAAGTTTGAAAGCAGAAAACAACAAGGTGAAAATGTTTCTGAAAGTTAGTTTCACAGCATCAGTGTGACACGGTAATAATTAGCGAGTATGTTAGCTTCAAGATGAATGGACTGCACCAAACGTAGGGTCATCAGTGTGTGTTTTTGTGTGTGTGTGTGTGTGTGTGTGTGTGTGTGTGTGTGTGTGTGTGTGTGTGTTTGTACTTGATACACACACACTTGCATGCAAAGGATCATGCAGCCCTTCTTAACAAATTGTAGGCTACACCATACATCCTGCCAAGTACCCTGCCGTAGGTCCGACTACAACACACACACTCACACACACTCACACACATACATACCACCTCTCGGGTTGTTGGCATGGTAACCACTGAGAGGTGTCCAGGCTCTCCACATTCCCAGTTCTTCCCTCCCTCTCTGTCCTTGGGAACTGCTCCAGTCAAAGTTAGTTTTTCTATTTTTAAAGCAGTGAAGCGTCTTCACTCACTGACCCACGGCAGGATGTAAAGCTCCCTGCTGCCACATACAGTGACGTGTCCGCTTGACTCTCCACAGGGTGAAAGTGGCGCTTCTGTGTTTGCATATATATATATCTATGCACTAGAACAATAGTGTAGGTACACGTGACTAACTGCCCCGTCCCTCTGCTTTGTGCGGAGCGAACCTTTCTTAAACTGTTTCTCTTTTTCTGAAAACACAAGGTTTCTTTGTGTCTGTAAAGATTCTCAGTCCAGGTTCTGGTTTTTCTAAGTCTTCAAATATCGACCAATATGTTTGATAACTTGTCGTGTAGCACTTGGTGACGTGTGGTTTCTTTCCATGTCGTGGAGACCGACAGAGCAGCAGCAAAATGCAGCCACAGATCAGCGGAAAACAAACTTAACCCTCTGAGGTCGACGGATGTTTCCATCATTATCTTTGTGATAACACAGCGTAGAAATGTGGTTTAAATGTTGTTAGAATCTGTCGACTCTCCACTTTGCGTTTCATATTCTCGTGAGGACGTACACGACTCGAGGTCAGAGCTAGAAGGCTTTGAAGCAGGCCTCTAAAATTTGATTATACATTTATGTATTTATCTTACTTACATGTTACATGTCATTTTTAAGAAGACTTGGGTAAACCCATATAAATCATCAGTTCATCCACATCAGTCAAGGTTTGTTTTCAAGAGATTTGGAGAATTTCATAAAACTGGGCTTCAGTTTTTCAGCATTTGGGCCAAGAAAGCTGAGACTGATCTGAAAACTGTGATATAAAACATTTGGGTTTTATCTCATGAGCAAGAACTTTAAGAAATAGTGTAGAAATGAAGAGATATTCCACACTAAATACAAAATACAACATTTGTGCTGTTTGATATAAAGTGGTCATATACACCAGCACGTCTGTCTTCATTTAGTCTCCAATGGGTTTGGGGTTTGGGGTTTTGTTTTTTGTTTGTTTTTAATTCATTCAGAAAGTCTGAATTCTCACCAGCTTGAACTACAAATCTGCTTCTACTGGTAAGAAGTCAGTGTTTGAATTACTGATAATGGGAAATCTCTATTTATATCCTATAATCACTGATGTTTTCCTGGAATTTAACAGTTTTTTATTAGGAGAATATCACCCTGATAAAGAGAGATAATTTCTATGTTATTTACTGCTGTAAATTTAATGATATTTTACCCATTTATTTTCAATTTATCAACCTTTTGTATCAGAGGAAATTCTGTGACTCTCTGAGGTGAATTGGAGAAACGCTTGTTTATTTGAATCACTTTGTTTTTATTGTAGAATTGAACAGTGTTAACACGTGTCTTCAGAAAATATAAAAAACGTCACTGAGGTCTAAACTGCCACAAATCAAACATCAAACCAGATCGTTTTATTTTTCTTTTTTCTTTTTTTATACAAAGTTTATAGAAAATATTAGTTGCACATCACAAAAATACGAATAAACAACACCTACTCATCTAGTGATTCTACCATCATCATCATCATCATCATCATCACTGATGATCAGCGACTGATTGTTTTCCAACAAGACATTGTTTTTTATTGATCGTTAGTCAGTTACAACGTTACACAACTCAACTGTTCAGTTTCATCTTATTCAACGTTTCTACAGAAAAAATCTACGACAAACTTTTACACGACACGACTCGTCCCGAAGCTAAAACACTGAGCTCAGATACAACTGGATTCATTACATCAGCAGATTAATGGGTTTGATTCAAGGTTTTTATATCGTTCAGACTGACGAATTTTAATTATTGTTCCACCGTGAATTTGTAAACCTCGTTTGTTAAAAGTCCGTCGTTTATTAAAGTTTTTATCTAAATTTGATTCAAAAAAGCTCAAAGTTGAAAATAAAATGAAAAGTGTTTTCATAAACGAGTTTCCTGGAGCTTCCAGTTTGATTGAAACGTATTTATTTTGATTGTTTTCAGATTGTTGAACTTTTGTATCAAAAAATTAGCTTCGCCTCTGCGTCATAATTTCCCATCAACCCTCAAAAAACTTGACAAAGAAGGAGCAGACGGAGTGCCACCCCTCACTGCAGTAACTCTGCACCGGATCCATGTCGTTCATCACTCCCTCCTCCTCAAACCCAGTCCTCTCCTCCCTCCTCTTCTTCTCCTCTTCCTCCTCCTCTTCCTCCTTCTTCTTCCTCCTCTCCGCCTTCCCTCCCTCTGAGCTCTTACCGGCCGGCGCTCCTTTCTTCTTCCCTCCCTCCTTTCCTCCCTTCCTGTCCTCCTCGCCGCTGCGCGTGGCGAGCTTCATGTGCGCCTCGGCCGGCGCCTTCTTGCAGGTTTTGGCCTTCAGGACTTTCTCGCCCTCGCAGGCGTTCTGCCTCTTCTTCAGCTTTCCAACCAGCTGCTTCCAGTACTGGCTGGACTTCACCCCGTAAGCCTGGCACAGGTCCGGCTTACCGGCGTAACGACACCAATACCTGGAGGAGGAGGGAAAACCAGAACCAGATGAATGAAGAGGTTGGATAAAGACAGATTTAAGGGCTTTAAATGAATGACTGGGGTCAGGTGTCTCACCTCTGCGGGTCTCCCAGCGTTTCAGTGCTACAATTGACCAGCAGGCTCACCAGGCCCTCGCCAGACGTCTGCCAGACGCAGCGATGCCCCTCCTTGGTGCTCAGCTCTCCAGAGCCGGGCACTGAGCGATTTCTGGGTCTCTTGGCCGGCGGCGGTGAAGACGGAGGCTGGCGGGGTTTGTCGGGTTTCCCCTGACCCGGCTGCCGCTTGGCCTCGGGGAGGACGGGGAGGCAGAGGAGGAGGAGGAAGAGGAAGCTGCATGGAAGGACGCTCATGTTGGCTGGGGAGGGACACGTGGACACAGAAAATGAGGAATTTATTTTGGGTTTAATTTGAGATTTGCGTTGAAAGTCGACATTTTAGCCTCTTTTAGTTCATTTTTTTTTGTTTTAAAGCGCATTTACTGTCATTTACTCTCAGCAGCAAAAAGACGCACAGAGTTAGAGACTGAAGAAAAAGCAGCTTAAAAGCCAAAGTTGGTGGAGATGAAAACAGAGGAGACAACTGGACTTCAGTCGATCATGTGGACACAAATAAATATACCTCCACATCTGGGCAGATTCCAGCTGTTATCGTCCAGTATTGACTGACAGTCGGAAGATTTTCATTTTCACATTTTCCAGATGTGGAAGCAGCATCCGATCATCATGCCATATATGGGCCAGATTTGGGCCGTGGAACCGGGTCTACACTGGTCTAGCGTAACTCACCATGTCATGTGTTACTGTGCTGACGGTGAGCAGGTATAATGTTTACCACGTACAATGTCTTAGTTTAGCTTGTTAGCAGGCTAACATGCTAATTAGCTCTAATCACAAAGTGCTGCTGCGGCTGGGAATGTCTTTAGTTTGGAAGGTGTTTGATCATAAATTGAAGCGTTGGACGGTCTCCATGGAAACGGTAGAATATTACTGCTGTAAAATCCTTCACTTTTCCGTAACGAAGGAAACCTGTTAAGAGATTCTATGCAACACAGTAACTCCCTCAGTTAAGGAGAAATTAAACCTTAAGTTTTATTTTTAAGTTGAGAACTGAAGGTGTTTTGTTCAAGCGGCCTCTGAACGTAATGTCGTGGCGTTTCATTCAATATTTGTTGAGGACCTTTACTGCCAAACCACAAATGTAAACCTCATGGTGGCGCTAGAAATCACCAGTGTTCATCCTCTGAGGTCCATGTACAAATATCCATATCGCTCCGTTCAGCAGCTGTTGACATATTTTAGTCCAGGCTGGTGGAGTTACTGACAAACCTGAGATACTTTGACTTTATGCTCTGGAATCTGCCGAGATCCTGAAATGCCAACTCCTTCATTTCCCATAATCCAGCTCAGGAGAGTCTTTTGTTTGACCCTTCCTTGCCTTGTGAATGTCAATGTCCTTTAAACACACGCCTGATGACATCAACCGGATTATTTCTCCAGACTTTACAGAGCTCCCTCCAGAGCGTTATACAACTGTTTTCACAGGCTGAGTGACACCTCCTGTCTGTTGCCAGTGAACTGAACATCTTTAAAATCAGCGTACCGTCCCTTTAATCTGTAAAATACTCCACTGTAGCTCCTTCACAGGAGGTCAGAGGAGAAGTATGACGGCTCTGTGAATATGAACTACTAAGAGCTCGATGAAATTTTAATGATCCCTGCGAGGCAACTGGGTCAGTGCAGCAAGAACCCACAAGGAATCAGCTTCATCACACTGTTTAGTTTGAAATCATTTTATTTGTTGGCTGAATTTGTTCAAATTTAATCTTAAAAAAAAAAGAAAAAGAAAACCTGGACTGGTGAATTTTTGATGCATCAGTTTCTCAGAGCGGCAAAGAGACACGACACACGAGTGTTAAATGTTTCAGAAATGGACAATGGACAGGGAGAGGGGGCGTGAGTCGCTGTCAGCGGCTTATTGAAAACCAGCCAAGCGTCAGAAACACTCCCCCAAGAGGATGTGTCGCCATCACACGGAGCGGGGAGGGACGAGAGCTGGAGGAGAGTCCGTCACTTAGTTCCACATTTTATTTCTCTTCTAGAGAAACTTTAAGATTTAGAGCAACAGTTTATCACAAAGAAGAAAATACAGCCAAAAATAAAACATTAATTTACATGAATTAACATGTTGTTGATCAAATAACTTATTTAAACTGAAAAAACTTTTTATCATTTCTAATATCGAAATATATATTTTAATATTTACTATTTTAATCTTGAAGTGAGATGTGTTAAATAAAATCTGCGAATAAAAATAAAGTGTCTTCTCAGTCGACATTAACACAGACTGTGTGTCTGTGACAACCCATCAGATAATGATATGTTAATCTCTCTTGTTTAGACGGATTATTAGATAAATATTTGTTAGAATTTTAACTTGAAAATGAACTAGATAAATGAAAGAAACTGACGAGTGTCGATGTAAATGCTGAGATCGTTTTACCTCGGCCTGTTTCTCAGGTCGTCGTGTGTTTCATTAAAACCATTTGCGACCTGCATCAATGTGAGTCTATTATGTGAGTGTGGATTAATTAGAGTAAAAACATTCATATCCTGTGCGCCGCTGAGCCCCCGGGCCACGGTGGGAACAACAGAACAGTTTGTGTGGAGCCAAAATTAATCCCATTAGTAATGTTTATGTGTCGTCGTAATGAAATGGAAAATTAAAGCAGGAGAACATGGAGCTCCAGAGCATCGAGCTGTTTTTGTGTTTTTGTGCTCCCTGAACAATGAAGCACTTTAGGACAATTATCTTTTTTTAAATATCCTTTCACATGGAGAAACATAAAACCAAACAAACAGCTCTAACTTCACCGTTTGAACCCAAATAAAAGATTTAATTTCACAAATTGAATGAACAGGTATGAGCTGACAAACCTGACGGACACAGCTGCTTTGAGCTCAGTGCCGTTTCCTGTCAGACTGATTTAAACCGACGGCTTGTGCAGCAAGTAAATAAGATATCACATGAACCAAAAGCGTCATAAATAATTCAAACTAATGTTTATATTTCTCACATTTTGTTTCTAAATCCAGTTTGAAAAAGGGATCATCACTCCTGTCACCTCATGACCTTTACTGTATATTAGTGGACACCTGCAAACCAATCAGAACTGGGTATTCTCATATTTAAAGGAGACCTGTTACTTTCATCTCCAGCTCTGTATTTTTTATCCTGGGACTCCACCAGAGCAGCTTAGCATGCCTGTTTATGTAGCTCTGACTGAAACAGGCTTTATTAACTTGGACCTCCTTAAGAGGCCTCCTTAAAAACCCGCTTTCATCTGATTGGACGAACATCCGGAAAAATCAATAGCGTTTTTCTCTCTGTAACATCTGGATCCAGTCCAGCCCAAATACTGTGATATATGACATGTTGATATAATGAAAATATCGCATATGGCGGAAAATGTTGTGCTATTTGATATGATCAAATATCGGCCCAGGCCTTGTAAAATGAAGCAACAGAATATAATTAATTAGAAATAGTAACTTGTTCGAGCCTGAAGGTGATCCAGAATAAGAGAGTGGACGGGACGAACATCGGCAGCAACAAAGATTAGAACAGGACGACTCTGTTTGGTGAATGTTACGGCTGCTCTCTTCTTATCGTGCAACATGACGGTGGATTTAGTCCGTATATAACTTTTTTTTTCTAGGAAATTTCTAGGAAAAAAAAAGATTAAAATGTTGAACTGCTAACGCTGCTGGTGAAAAATATTATTCTGCTGGGTTAGTTTGTAATTTGTCTGCTGGAGAACATTAAATGTCTATAATATTACTGAAGTAGACTCGGAGCGAATGACTGTATAAAGAAATCCGTGACGTGCTGATGTCAGCTCGTCGCAGAAGTAGAAAGACGACGTTTGAAACCTGGTGTTCTTTACGTTTTCATACATTTTCCTCCTTATTTCAAACTTTTGCGACGTTTAAAATGTATATCTGACATTATAACATAATTTAAATTACAGAAAATAAAGGTCCCCTTTAAATATATTATTAATTTTGGTTGGTGATGCTATAAAGAGGCTGAGCCGAGGGCAGCGTTGTGCTTTATCTCTCAATAACAGCTCATTGTGCCGTCCACATGCAGTTAACACTTCTGCAGGGATTTTAAACATATATATATATATATATATATTTTTTTTTTTTACTATACTTGTTTTTTCATTGTTTATAAAATACACTTTAGTGTCTGACTGACCTTAAACTGGTTGATGTTCAGAGTAACAAAGATCTCCTCAGTGAAGGTTTTAAGGAGGTCTGAGGTGATTGTCAGGACACAGCATCAGTAACACAACAAATATAAAAACATTCAGTTCATTTCACTGAATGAACAAAAACACTGAGTTCATCTTTAACTTAAAAAAAAAAAGTTTCTATTGTAAAAACTCAAACAGAAATGAAACAGATTTCCTTCGACTTCGTCCTGCTGCAGCATTTTAACAGCCTGAGATGATAAACAAAGACACGCAGCACCAAAACAAACATAATCCCCCATCCGAGCACAACCCCCCCCCCCTCTAAACACACCCCTCATCAATAAGTCATGACAATAAAATCAATAGCTCAGTGTTTGTCTCCTCTGATGCTCTAATAAAATCTGCAGTGACAGTTTTAGGAAGAAGAAGAAGAAGAGATGCAGTAGCTCGGAGTTTGTTGTTCGGTGGTTGAGTGTGAGCAGAGGCCCGGTGTTCTTACCATGTGACGCTCCGCAGCTCTGAGTCGCTGTGGAAATGTGGGGGCCACAAACACTTGGATAAAAGAGGAGACGGGGATAAAGGAGGAGGAGGAGGAGGAGGAGGAGGAAGGAGGGAGTTCGGAGAATAAGGAGGACTATACGAAGAACTGCCCACCCCAAAAACCAAGCACACCTCCCACATTCCCCCCTCCTCACAAAACCCTATGTACGTGTGTGTGTGTGTGTGTGTGTGTGTGGGTGTGTGTGTGTGTGTGTGTGGGTGTGTGTGTGTGTGTGTGTGGGTGTGTGTGTGTGTGTGTGTGAGAGAACAGGACAATGGACACTTGCCAGGGTCTCCTGCTCTGTGCGACACTGACGACACCTCCAGGGTTTGGATGCTTCAGTGTCACTCACTCAACAAAACACGTCTTTGTTCATCACTGGAAACTCTTCAGCTGCTGCATCTTGATTTCAGTTTGTCTTGTTAAATTAAATGAATAAAAATAAATAGAATAGCCACATGGCCACTTTTCAGTAACAAAATGATTATTTATTCAGTAAACTTTATTTTGGTTTGACAACCACAGAACAAACGAGAATTGCTCTCGGTAGAGCTCACACCTCCGCCGAGGCCGAACATTTTCTTCCACCAGATCCAGACTGTTTCTTGGATCTGCACCAAACTCTCCAAACCCACAGATCTCAACACTATTAGTGTGTCTGATTTTTCTTTACGTCAAAATTCAAACTTTATTTCCTGAGAAATTGACAAAAATGTGGAGAAATGCTCTACCTCGCAATGTTACAGGAAGTGATGAAAGAAAATTCCTGGATCCACCCCTTTAACTGGATCGACACCAAAGTTGAATGAGTCGATCCCTGGACCATGACCTGTCCCTCCACCAAGTTTGGTTTAAATCGGTTTAGTAGTTTTTACATAATCCTGCTGACAAACAAAGAAACATAGAAAATAAAAGCATTATCATTCTCTGAAGGTATTAAACAAAAGAGTCAGAGAGACGTGAAACAGTCCTCGCTGTGTAAACTAGTGCAGAGCTGATCTCAGCTGTAAATCAGCAGCAGGAAGAAACACACATTAAACATTTAAAACCACACGAGCCTCATCAGCCGCTCAGAGAAACTCCCTGTTACAGTCACAGAGGAAGAGAAGGAGGAAGAGGAGGCAACAGCTGCTTCATCAACAAAACACACAGTATCACAACATTTACTATCATCCCCCAGTATTTACTCTACATCTGTAGTGTGTTGTATGTTGTATTTTAATTATCCTGTACATGTAAAGGCTCAACTAGTGACAAGTGTTGAGAATTAGTAACATCTGTAAACTCTCTGCAGCACATCAGTTTCATGCTCTGTAACGTAACTAAACGTAAGGAAGAACAAAACTACGTTCCTGCTCTTATTGTTTGCTTCCTGGTTTGTCTGATATTGATGAAGAAGTCATCCATTGACCTTTAACCAACCACGGGGGGGGGGGGGCAGGAGTTTTCAAAATTGTGCTAAATAATGTAGATCTGATGTCTCAAAAACATTGCGAACATAAACAATAAAAATAATCATTTATACAGCAGGAAATCATTTATGTCCTGCTGCGAGGCGACCCCGTTAGGGGGCGTTCACAGAAAAACGAGGCCCTCTAGTGGTGACTCAGAAAATGCTTCACCTGAAAAAAAAATAACGGAGAAAACAAAAAAAGACTCGACACAAAAACTAAACATAATTAAAAAAAACTAAAACAACAAAAATAAATAAATAAGAGATAAACATGATTTTTTTTTTCTTTTATTACACTAAGGTCAAAGGGGAAAAATACAACAGTCCACAAAAGATATTGGAGATTAAAAAAAAAAAAGAAATAAAAAGAAAAGGAAGAAGAAATCTTCCCGTTGAATGTTAAGTTCTGTTATTGCAAAGAGTAAATATCCAGACACACAATATATTTATTTATTTACATCCCTTCCCTGTATCACTTGTTTGTACTTTTACACTCTTGAATTGTAGGTTTTTTTTTTGCTTTTCTTTATTAACTGCACCCGTAAATCACATTGAATTTGCCCTGGGGTATAAACGTGCTATTCAAATAAAGGAATATATAACAATTTCAACATTTGTATTCAGTTAAATCTTTATTTAACTGTGTGTGTAACACGGCTGAAGCCTCTGTAACCAAGTGTTTGTAAATCTAGTGGAACAGTGAAAGACGGTTTTAAAGAACTGTCGCAGCGTTCAGATGATTGTGTTTCAGCGTGAAGCGGCTCCAGACTACATGTTAGAAGAGTCGTGGTGTTCATGGTAGAAACGGTAAAGAAACAGGCTGCAGGGAAAGTGCACCGACTGCTCCTCTTGAATCTGAATGTGACGTTAACTCCTGCAGAGCCGCTGCAGCTCTTTACACTACGAATCTACGAACGAGAGCTGCACAAACTCAGTACTAACAAATATCTGGAGAGCTGCTCCGAGAAAAATCATCTGTCATGCTCGACCCCGTCGCACGGAAGAACATTAAAAATCAAAGTCACTTTTTCCTCCTTTTCTATCGGCCCGAGTTTCTCTTTCTCCCGCACTGTATTGGTAACAGTCAGTAACTGGGCCCTCAGCCAGATGAATGAGGAGAATCTTCTCTGTCCTCCAGGACAAAGACTCGTGCGGGAATCTGGGTCACAGCTTAACCCCCTGCTGACACCCTGTCATCGCTGCCCAGCTCCTTCTCATTCAGCTTCGGGTATTGGTGGAGCTCCGAGGACAGCTCTTTCCCCGCGGGCGCTGCCAGAAATCTGCTTGGCGAGGAGAGGATGCTCTGAGTAAAAAAAAAAAAACAACAGTCGGCAACAGCGAACACGTCGTTCCGCCCAGTCTGGGCCAATCAGGAACAAGTATGTCGCCTTATTTTCAGCCTTTAAGTCGGTACACTTCGCTGCCGGGCGGAGCGGCGTGGAGTCCTGTCTGAAGCAAGTTGGTGGAGTCAGAGTTTGTGACTCGAAACGAGGAAGTTGTCTTGATTTGGTTTGTTTTGATTTTTGCTTTTTAAACTTTTATTTCTTCTTTTATGAATCAAACGCAGTCGATCTTTTACTTTAGTTTTTACGGCATCAGGAGGAGCAGGAACTCAAACATCCCTGACGTATCACTGACACTGTCCTCCTTCATCCCATTAAGACGCATAGTATATGAGTAGTGTGTGTATATATATATATGTATATACATACTGTATATATACGATTTTCAGACGTGATCGATGAAATTCATTTTGATTCGCTGGAAGTCGGGTCAGGAAGGTGAAATCCATCATGGGAAATGTAGTTTGTTTGGGTTTTTTTTTATCAGTGGTTTTAGCCGCAAAAAAGTTTTTAAAGTCGCGGTTCGGACGATGCCTGACGACCTGAGCGAGGGGAGCTATTACAACAGACAACCACTTAGAAGATTCAGACACTGATTTCAACCTGCTAAGCTACTAACCAGCTAGTTAAGGCTCAGGGTGAGAGGATCGGTAAGCTAGTATCACCACTAGCCAGAGGTAAAGATTTACCTGATGCCACGCTGTCACTACAACCTTTATTTCTCAGCCTCTGAAGGAAATAGACACATGAAATAAAAACCATGTGAGACCTTAAATTGTAAATCATTGGCTTTCCCTTAATATTCATCAATATTTCTTAGGAGAAAAAGCCCCGAAACAACCTTTACGTTAAAGAGACGGCGCCCTCTGGTGGACGTAGGGATTGCGACGAGAGCAAAGAAGAAAGGAAGGAAGGCAGGAAGTCCAAACAGGGAGGGGGTCGGGGAAGTTTGATGGGTCGACTTTTCTGTGGTTTTCACGCCAAAGAAAAACTATGTATAAAGAGTTTACTGACAAAAACCTTAACCACATTTATTATTGTAACCAAGACGACCTTGACGAAGTCTTTTTATCTAAAAACAACGATCTCTTCCCGAACCTGACCACGTATTTGTTGTCATCGTTACATCATGAAGCTCTAGTTGTTTATGTGTCAACACTAACTGTTTATCTGTGACGTATCTACCGTCGTCATTCCAGGTAACGCTGCCGAGGGTCGTATCGGAGGGACGAACGACCTCTAAGGTCGTTTAGGTCGGAGATTATTTTATTATCACATCCAGCAGAAACAGATCAGAGGTGGTGTTTTTGTCCATGTGATGAATTTAAATTCATGTTATCTCTGATTTCATCTCAGCTGACCACTGAGAAAATATATCTGTCTCTTCAGCTGATAGACTTTCACTGTCCTCCCCCAGACTCCCACAGCTCGACACTGAAACCAACCAATCACACACCGTCTTCCCAAAATCAATTCTGGATCTGACCCAATTCCTCGTCGACATCCTCAACCCCTCCCAACCTGAAATCAAAGATTACACATGCTCAGTCAGAGTGGGATGCTTCCACACCTGCAGCGCAAGTTGAACAACGGCCTCAGTGAATAAATGATGTAAACACACACAAACACAAACAGGGCGACACATGGAAATGTAGCCGCCTTTATGTCATCCTCACCACATGAGATAAACAACAACAACAAACAACTACAAAACAGTTCTCTCAGTTGTGTGTGTGTGTGTGTGTGTGTGTGTGTGTGTGTGTGTGTGTGCGTCACGTCACAGCTCAGTGGGACTCTGCTGCCTCCTACTGGTGGTTTCTAGAAACAACCAGTTTGAATGGTGTGTATGTTCTTCTACACAAGCATCTAATACTTCTTCTCAAACTTCTACACATTTGTTCCATAAAGTAAATGTTGTGCAGGAATAATTAATTTGTTAAAATCTTTTAATGGAAATTCAAACTTCTACATTTGACTAATGTTGATGATTTGTGAAGAGCAGGCAGCAACATAGGAAGGCATAACATCCATAATAAACTCATAATATTGTAATGAACCTACAGAGGCTCAGAACATGGAGGATGATGTTCTTACACATGCTGCAGGGTTTGTTTGGTTTCAACACCTGCTGTGAGTTTGTATCCTTCTCTTCTGTTCTTTAACCAGAGTGTGTGTGTGTGTGTGTGTGTGTGTGTGTGTGTGTGTGAGTGTGAGAGAGATGAGCTAGT